GGTGAGACTCTGGGAGGACTTGTGAGTTAAGATTTGGGCTGATCCCTGTCCTACACCATGCCGTGCTGGTTGTTACAGAAGTACAAGGCAGTTGGCACCTTCTGACCTCATGTGAGCTAAAGTCAGAGCAGCTGTTTTGAGCAACAGTCAAAACAGCTGGAGAAGTTTTACTACTGTTATTGGTGACAAACACAATATCCAAGGAAGCTGTTTCACAAGCGAGGGCTGGATGGGATAGAACAAGTGCAAACAGAGCTGTAGCAAGATACATTTTTGGCCTCTGTTCCAGGTGTTCCCCCCCTCCCGCCTGCCCCCAGGCTCTTTCCAGCTGCCGCAGCCCCTCTCCCTGGGTGGCAGTGGCCGGGGCTGGCAGCCGAGCTGTGAGGGGTCCGCCCTGTCGGGTGCTTTCCTTTTCACCCCAGCTCACAGCAATACAGGATCTCAAAGCCTTTCACTGGCATCATCTACGTGCAAGGGTTGTATCAGCCGTGCGGCAGCAGCTGCCCCCGGGGTGGGAGCTGACCCCCGTCTAGCAGCGTGCAGCATCTGAGCACTGCAAACTGGAGCAGTGCTCTTGCATCCCTCTGAACTACCTGGAGAATTTCAGCGGGCAGGAGCTGAACAGAAAACCAGGCTAGGGCTGGCACGCTGGTGTTTCTGAGGAGGTATAAGAGGATCTTTCCAGACTATATGCTCTGCACCTTTCACAGTCGTGGTTTTACACCTTGCCCAAATCTGGGCACATCCAGAGCTGAGGCTGGTGTATTCGCTCCAAGCTGATTAGGGATAAGGATGCCACAGACTGAGTTATTGGCGTGTTTGAAGTATCCTGGGTTTTCCGGAGAAGGTAGCCCTCCTTCAGACGTAGCCTGACCTCTGTTTAGCATCTGAAGTGGTGTGAGAGCCAAGGGTGGGTTTCAAGAGGTGGCCAGCACTTCTGAAACGCTACCAAGCAGGGCAGCTGTAGATTACAAGGTCCTGAGGAACGCTGGTTACGCTGCGTTCCCTGGAAAGGGGAGAGGAGAGGGCACATCTCGGAGAGTAACGAAGAAAGTATGAGATCCAGGGGACAAAATGGGACTCGGGAGCCTTTGGGTCAGTTTTCAGCGTGGGCTGACGTTGGGCAAGTCCTTTCGCTACGCGTCTCACTTTTTCCATCTTCGGACTGGGTCTAATGATGCTGCCGCGGAGTGCTTTCATGTTTTCTCCTGAGCGGTGCTATGTAAGAGCCGGGAATTGCTTGCTGTTAATAATTACTATTTTATTGCTTCCGGGGAAGCGGGGGGCTGAGCTGCGCATGGGACTCCAAGCTACTGCTTGTCGTGTTTGTTTTGGCCCTGCTTCCCAGAGGCATCTTTTGTTTCCTTCAGCTCCAGAGAGGTTAGGGATGAGGAAAAGATTCGTCTTGAGAGTCCTCGGGAGCTGCATGCACGTCCTCTGCAGCAGGGCTCGCCGGTGGAGGGCGAAGTCGGTCTTCCCTCCTCTTGATGGGGTGTCGTGCTTGAAGCAGAATCGTGTTTTCCATTTCTCTGCCTGGCTAGCTTGCGGGAGACTCATTCTCTCCATGGCTTGTCTGCCCTCCAGGTAGAACCGCAAGCCTGCACGTATCCATGCCAGTGTCCCTCCCAGCCTCTGCAGTGCCCCGCTGGCACCAGCCATGTATTGGATGCCTGTGGTTGCTGCAAGGTGTGTGCCAGGCAGCTTGGCGAGCTCTGTTCCCTGCAGAAACCCTGTGATCATCACAAGGGACTCTACTGCGACTTCTCCAAAATCCACAGAGGCAGCGGGATCTGCTTAGGTGAGAGCTGTATGTTCTGTTATTGTGCGGTTTTCTTGTGGCCCCTCCAGCCCTCTGCCTGCAGACCTCCCAGAAAACCCACGGCATCGTCAGAATTCCCTGTAGTGCTTGGACCCCTCGTCCAGCGTCACGTTGTGAGATCTGTGCCAGCCCTGCGAGCCAACAGATTCACTGATACCGGTACACACGCAACCCACTTCCTCCTGCGATGAAGGATGTTTCCAAAGGCACGAGTGGGGGTTTGGGACTCTCCATTGTTCACCTGACATTGTTAGGAGACAACCTCTAGCCCCGTAGCGCCTGTGGGTAACCATCAGCAATCCGGACTTTTACCGGCAAGTACAGTTGCTTGGAAAATCTCACCCAAAATCTCACTGCCTTGCACCGGAGATTGGCATTTTGCACTCGACTGCTTACATGCAAGAGGCGCGCCGTATTTCTGGCTTTGGCACGGGGGTGGAAAGAGCTGAACAACTCCTTTGCAAAATAGTGTGTGTGTAGAACATGAGAATTACTGAGCCGGGTAAATACAAATGCAGACCTGTTTTCTCTCCTGGTGCCTCTTTTCAGCCAGAAAAGAAAAATCTTTTGGATTTTTTTTTGTTTAGTAGCTATTTTTAAAGCATGCAAAAATTATTTTGGTGTAGAGGGAAAAAAAAAAATTTCCTCAGTCTCCTGTTCCTTGTTTAAAACCAAGACTCCTCTGGCCCTGCCTCTGCCAGGAGCTGACCATTTTTTCAATTCAAGCTTTTCAAGATAGTCAGGAAGACACGAGGGCTGGAAAGCTGATGTGAACGCTTTGGGAAGCGTTCAGCCACCGCACGTGGCACCTCTGGAAATGCTCCGGCAGCCGTACCGCTTGTACCGCCCCGAGACAGGGGCGTTGGGGGTTCGGGGTGGAACCGCACTGTTTGGCAGTGCCAGGTTCACATACAAATATTTTTTTTTTTTACTCTAAAGAATGAATTTAACTTGTAGAAGGTGTTTTCTCCTTTCTTTTGAGAAGTTTTTAGAAGTTATTTGTTTAGTTTTCCTCCCCCAGTTATTGCGATCTTTAGAAGCCACATGAGCTTCCCTAGTGCTCTCTGTAGGCATTGCTACACCTCAGAGCTGATGACTGAAGCTTCATAAGGCAAACGCAGGCGTAATAACATCCAGCGGGTGTAAGCTGTAAACCGCCTAATTAAGGCTGGAAATGAGGTGTATGTTTGTAGAGTAAAGGTAGCTAAAGCACTGGAACAATTTACTCAGGCGTGTGGAGAAGTCTCCATCTCGAAGACTTCCCGTGAAGACTGGGCATCTTTCTAAATAAACTGCTTCGTATTCACCATGACGTATGGGTTTGATACAACGATTTTGGAGTGAGAGTCCCAGATCCCTGCTGTGTAGAAAATCAGACTTGAAGACCACAACGGTCCTTCCTGCCTTTAAATGAGGAATTAAGATTTTCATGGCAAAAATCCCAGATGAACATAGACCAGGATATCTCCCTAAACTGGACCGAGGATTTGGGCCGTAACGTCCTTGGGTGATATTTTTGTGATGTCCACACTGATCTCTCGGAAGATGGGGGATTTTGGAGGCAGTGAAGGAAGCTGAAGGTGGAGCGATGAATCAAATGAAGGGAAGGATCAATGTTTGTGACTAGAGAAGAGAGGACTTACGGGTATCCAAATAAGACAGACGTGATGGGAGCAGAAAGGAGCAGAGAGGTGTTCAGGTGTCACAGGAGAAGCTTCTAGGTTGGGTACCAGCCTGAAGACTATGTCAGAAGAGACAGGAAGGGAACCATCAGCGTGAAAATTACTGGATATGTGTTTAATGTTATCACAGTATGTAGCATTTCACGTATTGCAGAGGAATTCTTCCCTTCCTGCAGAGACCTTGGAGTATCAGAAAGGTAGAGACGATCCCGTAGTAACTCTAGAGCAGGAGAGCCCAAGGGCGGTAGGGTGGCCTGGGTGGGTGCAGGGAGCTGGCAGAGCTGCGGCGACCGGAGCGGCTCACTTGAGCTCTGCCATATTTCCTGCAGAAAAGGGCAAAAGTCTCCTAGACCGGCCGTGGTGTCTGGAGGTGGGAGGTGGCAGCGGTGCCAAGCGGCGCTGGTAAATAAAGAGCCGTCTCACTCTGCTGGCACAATCTGTTTCGGTGCTTTAATTGGATCAGGTCAACGGGAAAGTGAGGTCATTGTAGGGTAACGAAGGGCATGACAAAACGATTGAGTTTTGAAAACGTAATAAAACCCCTGAGCAGGCTGCCATTCCTGGGGTGGGGAGGAGTGCTGCTGAGGGAACAGCACGACCGGTTCATCGGGAAGGGAGAGGGCTTGGGCTAAAAAACAGTGCAAGAGGATTTAAAAATAAGTATGAATGGTTGTGTAGAGGGAAAGTGGATGGCTTCCACTTCGATGGAAAAAGTGAGGATTTTGAAACTTCTAAGTAGGAGCACAGGAGTATTTTTATACCAATGGCATTGAAAGGAGTTGCAAGTTGAGATCCAGCTCTGGTTAGAAACACGGCATTAGCAGCCCGGAAGGATTTGTGTCCCCTCAAGGACTAGGTGGGATGGAAAGAGGCTCTCGCTCCTCATTTGGTCCAAACACTTTCTGTCTGAGACAATGTTCCACAGGCGAGCAGGACTAAGGGGAAAATAGATCAGGTTTCCTGGTCAGCCTCTGCAAGCAGCCAAGAATCCTTCATTTTGGTAACTTCCCAATAGAGATTTGCATGGTTTTTTTTTGTTTTTTAAGGGTCAGGATTGCAGAAAGCAGCAGCTGACGAGAACTGTCCAAAAGCAGGATTTCTCTCCTGTGAACAACTCTGAGATTGCAACGTTTCATTTCAGGCTGAAAGGAAACAAAAAAAAAAAAAATCTCAAAACTTTCCATGAGTTATTTAGAATACTCGTTTGGCTGTGTCAAAACTTTCCACTTCCATTATATCAAAATGTTTCATCCTGATCTTTACAGTATCTAAAATAATTACCCGAGGAAAATGCCTCCCCCTGTGGAAAGTGTCCAGCAAGTATTTTGGTTGAGCTATTGTAAGAGCATAAAGGAAATCTTTGATATCAAATTGAAATGCTTCAGTTGTTTCTCAGTGAAAACATTCCTGACATTGATCTGTCCCTGCAAAACTCTTAATCAAATACGAGTTTTCTGCTGGAAAACTTCCACTGGAAAAATTTTGGCTAATACAGACGTAAGAACTTGGGAGCATTACTCGCACCCGCAGACTGAAGATTGCTCCTATGTGTCAGATATTGTTACGTTTCCTTTTTTGCTCATTTAAGTTTTATCGGGAAGGAGTGAAAGACTCGTAGGAGGGCTGGAGATGAGAGGTCTGGAGATCAGAACAGAGAGAAATAGAAAAAGTTGTGGCCGGAAGGAAGAGGAGATGCGTGCATCACAGAGGAGCCAAAAGGTCATAAACCCAGTGTTATTTTCCTTCTGTAGGTACCTTTAGACACGTGGCGAACCAACTGCTCTTAGGAGAACGTTGCCTTTTGGTCTCCTAGGAGTAAGGAGGAGCAGAGCCGCTGGCTCACGTGTGGCGTCAGGAATGCATCTTGCACACCACCACTGACCGGGGCGCCCTCTGAGCGGGACAGGAAGACCTCTGACTGGAGAACAGGCTGTCTACAAGCTGTAAAGACAAAGTCCCACTTAGCTCATCCAAGCGGAGAAGAGATTTTTTTCTAGAGAACTTTGGGAGGTCTGGCACGGCTGGAGCCACCTTCCGAAAATCGATGTCGGGAATAGCCTTGGGTCCAGGGAGCCGAATGTTAAATGCGCCAACTTCTGCTGCCTCCAGCACTGGGCTGGCAGAGCAGGGGAGAGTCTGCACGCGGGCACTCGCCCCTCACCAGGAGCCCGGTGGCCCCCCGAGGCAGAGGCCACGCTGCCAGCCCCATACCGTCTTCTCAGCTTCTCCTCCTCTTCCCCCTTCCCACAGCTCACGAGGGTGCAACTTGTGACCTGCTGGGCAAGATCTACCACAACGGGGAGAGCTTCCAGCCCACCTGCAAGCTGCAGTGCATCTGCATGGACGGGGCCATCGGCTGCATCCCCCTCTGCTCCGACGACCTGCGGCTGCCGTCCCCCGAGTGCCCCAACCCCCGGCGGGGGAAGTTTCGCAGTAAGTGCTGCGAAGAGTGGATCTGCGAGGAGGGCAGTGAGGAAAACCGCTTCGAGACAGCCATGGCGGGTGAGTGGTGGGCAGACGTGACAGGGCCGGGGAGCTCTTTGCTGGGGGATAGGGGTGGATCCAAACCGCCTTTGGATCGGGGCCCTAAGTCACATCTGCTTTGGAACTGGTGGTGACTGCGCACTTTGTGCACCGGGGTGCACCGGGGTGCACAAAGTACCAAGTCTTGAACTCCAGACCCATTAAGGTGAGACCTTAGTGGTGCTGGGGGGAGGCTCGCACACCCTCTGATATCGCGGCAGAACTGGCTGGAGCTGGGCTGAGGTGGGAAACGGCCCCGTGCTTTGCCTGCGTCCTCCTTCTGCTGGGAGGCTGAGTAGCTTGCGGGATGGATCAGACCTTTGCTCCTGTCCCTGAAGAGTTAGACCAAGTTGGGAGCAGCCACGGAGCTGCCACACTTTGTTCCAAGCCCTGAACCTTGCCTTGCGTCTCTTCCGCGTGGCTCAGTTTTCCGGGAGGATCCAGCACACAAGCCGGAGCTGAATAACCTGCAGGAGAACTGCTTGGTGCAGACCACCGAGTGGAGCGCTTGCTCCAAGAGCTGCGGCATGGGCATCTCCGCCCGGGTAACCAACGACAACCCCCAGTGCCGCCTGGAGAAGGAGACCCGGCTCTGCATGGTCCGGCCCTGCGACTTCCCCGTGGAGAAAACCAAGGTACTGGCTTGGGGAGAGGGGACGCAACACCGTGAATGCCAGGGACAACCTAGCGGGGTACTTGTCAGGCGTGAGCCTGTCTCACAGGGTTTGCTCTGTGCTTCCACTTTTTCTGCGTCCCATTGCCCCGTGATGGAGATAGAGCACGGGCCTAGGTGGGCCTTTGGTCTGATTGTCATGTCCTTGTTAACCCATCTGCTCTCTCCCTAGAAGGGGAAGAAGTGTGTGCGGACCCCAAAGCCACGCCAGAGCCTCCACTTCGAGTTTTCGGGCTGCACCAGCACCCGTTCCTACCGGCCCAAGTTCTGCGGCAGCTGCACGGACGGCCGCTGCTGCACCCCGTACGTCACCAGCACCGTGGAGGTGGAGTTCCGCTGCCCCGAGGGGGACTTCTTCCAGCGGAAGATGATGTTCATCAAGATGTGCTCCTGCCACTACGACTGTCCCCGAGACAACGACATCTTCCTGGCCACGTATCACAGGAGGATGATTGGAGACCACGTCAAGACGGAGAGGCAGTAGCCCTCTCCGTGCCAGATCCGCAGGCCAAGGTGTGAAGAGGGCTCTGCAGCGCTTTCGTGGCTGTGTCCCGGGACAATGCAGCCTCTTACCCCTCGTGAGGGGCTAACAGCACCGTTCGCCACCAGTGGTCCCAGTGGCCTTCCTAACAAGCCGAGGTGCGTGGGGGGAACAGCCCCATCTGCCCCAGGCTCCTGACCTTCACCCATGGTGGTGCAAAGGTCAGTGAAGGAACCAGAAACAGGCTTGAGCTGCAAATTTGATCCATGTTCCCACTGACCAGATGGAAGAGTGGATCAAAGCCGCGTGGCTCCAGCCTGTCTCCAGCTGAGGGCGCAGCGGGTACGATTCCCCGTGGCCACTGGCCTCCCAAAACCATGTGGCAAACCCAGAGCACGAGACAGGAGAAGCCCAGGAGGCCTGACCTGAAGCCGAGCTCCGCAGCCTGCTTTCCAGCAGAGCGGGGCTCCGCTGCGCATTGATGCAAAGCTTCTCGGTGAGGAAAGGGTCCTGGCCCCGTGCTGGGCTCCTGCTGAGCTTTTCAATTATTTTTGGTTAATTGGATCCAACAAGTTGGCAAAAGCTCTTCCCCATCCTTGTGCCCACTTTTCACCCTCCCATGTGCTTTCCCGTCAGCAGCTTTGTTCCAGATCAGTTTCACAGAATCACAGAAGGGTTGGGGTTGGAAGGGACCTCTAAAGGCCATCTAGTCCAGCCCCCCTGCCCTGGGCAGGGACATCTTCAACTAGAGCAGGTCGCTCAGAGCCCCGTCCAGCCTGACCTGGAATGTGTCCAGGGATGGGGCATCCACCGCCTCTCTGGGCAACCTGGGCCAGTGTTTCACCACCCTCAGCGTAAAACATTTCTTCCTTATATCTAGTCTAAATCT